AACACACGTAAGATCAGGTGTGCGTGAGGAGATGCGAACACCCGGAACAGTCGAGTGGATACAAACAGTACATGTAAGATCACGTGTGTGCGAGGAGATGTGAACATCCGCAGGTCTCTGTCTCATTCCACTGCAGGGTGAAGACACTGAGTGTAGACTCTCAACGCACATGTTAAAATTTCAATGGCCACTAACAACAAAGGAGTCCGATACGTAACCTCTGTGACAGGACGAGAAACAAGTGAGGGGGAAATTATTAATCCAAAAGAAGAAAAGGAGTGAAATCAAAAAGAAACCCTGGAAAAGCAGGACAATTAGAAAACAAGTGTCAAAAATTAGTCTAAACATGTGGATGATGGTGATCAAAGTAAAATTACGAAATTCCAGTTAAGAAACAAAGGCTGCCAGACTGTATTTTTAAGCTGAACAAATAGGCAAACCAACAAGCAAAAATAATTTTGTTGTTTTTTTTTCTTTCAAGAGATACACTTAAAGCATAAGGACCCAGAAAGAAATGAAAGAATGGAAAAAGGCTAAGGAATAGGCAACAAAATTAACTGGTGTACCAATATTAACATCAGTAGGGGAAAAAAACAAGACTTTAAGAGAAAAACTTTAATCATTACGTGTTGATAGAAAAGTCAGCTCACAAGAAGATATTTCAAAATTTATGCATGCCTAAAACATAGCTTTAAAATATGTAAAGAAAATAATTGACAAAACATAGAGAATTTGACAGACATTATAGCAAAAACTTGGCACACCTCTCTTTCCGTGAGTGATAGGTCAAGTAGACAAGTGTGAAGAAGGCATCAACAGAACTATCCATGATCCTGACGTAACTGACGTACCTTGAACACTACACCCCCACAACTGTAGAATTCATGGAGACATTTACAAAACCTGATCACGTACCAGACCATAAAGCATCTCATCATCTTTCAAAAATTGGAATTGTATCGTCCACACTGTCTTAGCACAAAGCAATTCCAGTCATGCACCACATGACAGTTCAGCCAGCATCAGACCACATAGACGATGGTGACCCCATGAGAGTATAGTAGAACTGAGAAATTACTGTTGCCTGGAGACCTTGCAGCTGACCTGAGATTGCAGCACGTTACCCCCATGTGTGCTGCTAGTGCAAAGCCACTGCACTGCCAGCTGTCTAGCACCTGCTGTTAAGCATAGCTTATCATTCTTCATACGCTGATAAACAGCTGCTTTACTGGTTTGTGTATTACTATGCTTTTTATCATTATTTTAGTGTATTCCTTCTAATTATCTAAAAAAAATTAGCTGTAAAACAGCCTCAGGCAGGTCCTGCAGGAGGTGTCCAGAAGGAGGCACTGTGATCATCGGAGATGACTATGTCAGACTGTGTGGTTTTGGTGCAGTGGGAGACAAGTAGACTGGATGAGACCTGAGAGTCCAGGATCCCTCACACAGGAAGGAAGCCATCCACGATACTTGGACGGAACAAAGCTGCCCACGAGAGCAGAGAGGGCAGATGGCCCACACAGTGCCAGGACAGTGGGTCAACTATGTGGGGAAATTGATCTTTATTTCCTGCCATAAACAAAAATCATTTCCCATGTGTCAAGAACTCCAACACAAGACAGAAAAATTGAGCAGTTTTAGGAGAAAATATAGAAGAATGTCCGATTCTCATGTCAGGGGAGGATTTCTTAAAATGTAAGCACAGACCATAAAGGAAAATACCGGTGAGTTCAACTGTATGAAATGTTAGAATACTGTTTCTTATGAGACACCATGGGAGAGAGGGGAGAAGATCTGTGCAGCAGGAATGACAGACAGGCTGGCATCTGAAATGCTGGGTGCTCTTGGGAAGTCAACAAAAATCAAGCGAAAAGAAAAATGGACGAATGACAGAAACAGGCATTTTGCTGGAAATGAAATAGAATGCAGGTTAGAACCACCGTGGCGGGGACCTGTTTCTTGGCCTGAGTGATAGTTGCATGGGTGCATTCGTTTTGTGTTAATTCATTGAGTTGCATCTTAACAAATGGTTGCAATTTTAGTAGTTGTCTGTGTGTTACATTCTGAGACAATGTGAAGTAGAAAAGACAGTTTACAGAGAAACATCAGTAATGGGATATTTCCCCTGCCCACCCTCCTGCCCTCCTCTGCCTCCCTCTCCCTCCTCTCCCTCCTCTCCCTCCCTCTCCCTCTCCTCCTTCCCCTCCTCTCCCTCCCTCCCCTCCTGCCTTCCTCTCCCTCCCTCCCCTCCTCTCCCTCTCCCTCTCCCCCTACTTCCTCCCCTGCCCTCCTCTCCCTCCCCTCTTCTCCCTCCCTCCCCTCCTGCCTTCCTCTCCCTCCCTCCCCTCCTCTCCCTCCCTCCTTGTCCCCCTACTTCCTCCCCTCCTGCCCTCCTCTCCCTCCCTCCCTTCCTGTTGCCTGCCTACCTGACTTTCTTCCCCTTTCCTCTCAGTGATTTGGAGGTACTGGTGAGAACCAAAAGTCTCATTTTTTTACAGGGCAGAATCTTCTCAAAAAGTGGAAGGCCCCTTGGCACTTAGTCCTGTTCTCTCCTTTAAAAAATGTGGAAATTGAGTCCAAAGGAGGTGCAGTGGCTTGACTGATCCTGGGCAGAGCTAGGGTGAGCACCTGCCCATCCTCTCCACAGATGCTCCCCGAGCACCGCCCTGTGCTAGTCCAGACCTCCCTAGGACGTCCCCTACATTTGTAGGTGGGGAGGAGAGAGATTTATTTGCTAGTGTGGTCATTTCTTCGTAAAAAGCCAAAAACATATTGGGAGACTTTTTTGTCATCCACAGCCACAGTTGCTGCTCACTCACATCCATTCCCTCACTTTATAGTTCAAGGAACTGAGGCCTGGAGACACCAGGCCTTCTATCGCCACAGCAACCGGCTGGGCCATCTTGGAGCTGACTCCAACCCCTGTAGAGCCCAGGGGGTGCCCCTCCCCTGTACCCCATTCCCTGACCACAGGGCAGCTCCTGAGCCCCACTGGGAGTCAGGGGTTTGTGGATCCCATCTGTGCCATTCAGCGTCCGATGACTGGATGAATTCACCAGGAGTGTCTCACCCCACCATGGGCGATCTTGCCTGCAGTCCTCCTACCCGGCCTGGGACACCTGCAGTCTTTCCTGACGTGGCCTGTCCAGGTGGGGCGCCTTCACTAGGACCCCAGATATGCCTGCTTCCTCCTGCTGTCCCTGCAGGGCCTCACGTCTCTCCAGGAGGTAGACTGTCCCGGTGTAAGTACTCACCAGATGTGTCTGCAATGGCAGGTGCTCAGGGAGCAAAGTCAGGCTGCGGCGACAAACACCCTACAATCTCATGGCTCTCCACTGAACACAGAGGTGTGCCAGAGGCCACGGGCTTGCCATGGGGACCAGACCCTATCCTGTGGGAGCAAGAAGAGGCCAGACGGGCTGCAGCCCACCAGACGGCCCCCTCCTGCCAGGCCTGCCCTGCCCCCCAGCCCAGCACCTGGCTGCAAGGCCAGGCGTTGGGGAGGGGCAAGGCTGGGGAGCAACCCCCCATCCTCCCAGGGTACTAGGTACTGAGGAAGGGGCCTTTACCTTGACTCTGGGTGAACTCTTAGGGGAGGACTCCCTGCTCCTGGGAGGCCAAGTGCACACCCACCCAGGAGTGCGCAGCTGGAAAGGTGCTGGGACCACAGTCGCCGCCTTCCTGACTGCTCCCTGGTGTCAGGGAACCCAGGTTCCAGGGGTGGCCATGGCAAGCATGGAGGTCTGGTCAGGTGCTCAGCAGCTGGCCTTCTCACATGGGGACAGCAGCTCTGCTCCGAGCGCCCACACCCCCAAGCACTGGTGGCCTCTGTGGCACATTCTGCCACCCACACCCTGTGCAGTGAGGAAGCTGAGCTGCCTGCCTGGCTGTGGGTCGCAGGAGTCCACACACAGCCACACTGGGATGCGTTTGGGCTGAATGTTCTGAAGGGAAAATGCTGGGGAGGTGGTGCCCTCCCCGAATGTGCCGCCTCCCCTGCCTGCCTGCACCACAGAGGAGCTTTGCCCGGTGCCCTCCTGAGCCCCAGGACACCCCCTGCAGCACCCATCCTTGATGGGAGAGCCAGGCCTGAGGAGCCCCATGCCCTCTGCTGAGTAGCCCTTGGCTCTCCAAAGGGTGGAAGAATTTTGAGTCTCACCTTGCCACATACCGTTATCTTCTGCTATTTTTAGTTTTTATTTAAGAAATGAGGCTCAGGTAACATAACTTTAAAAATGGCATCAAAGCCCCCTTGAAAAGTCTTGTGGCCTGAGGATGGGAGGAGAAGGGCTGGGGGCAGCCTGCAGGGGCCAGGGGCACAGGCAGCTCCCAGCTGAGGGCCCTAGGTGTCCCTCATACCCTCCACAGAACCTTCTAGTGCTAGTGTTCTGTAATCCCAGGGAAGGCGAGACACTCTTGGAGGTGACTAAAAGGCAGGTGTGTGGCCCCTTGGGTGCTCCCCTCACCCCAGGTCGCCTCATGGGTAAAGGAAGGCCCTGCAGGGGAGGGGAGTGGGCCAGGCCTAGCACAGGTGAGACCGGGGCGAGGTGTGCAAACTCGTGCCTCTAGGATCCCACAGGGGCTAGTCGGACTTTAGTGACTAGTGACTTGGCCTTGAATCGCCTAGAAGCACAGCTGGGTTTCCTCTGTGGCTCCTGGACTCCCCCAGACACTCCGTGGCCCACTGGCCCCAGCCTCCTGTCCATACCAGCCAGTGAGAGGGAGGCTGGGTCAGTCCAGGCTGGAGCTGCCAGGAAGCCAGGGAGAGAAGACAGCGACTTCCAGTGCTGCTCTCTGCACGCCGGGCATTGGCCTGCTCATAGCCTGGGCTCCATTGGCTTCCCCCAGGCCAAGTCCTTGCGTTCTCTTGCGTCTGCCATGTGTCCGCATGGCCCTCTTTCTATCTATCTGTGCAAAGTTCTGTTACTGCCGTTTTAATTTGGTGTGACTTGTACTCGATGACAATAACCTTCTTAGCTCTCATGTCCCTCCTACCCCAGCAGTTGACCAAGCTCCACCAGTTGGCCATGCAGCAAACCCCCTTTCCTCCCCTCGGACAGACCAACCCCGCTTTCCCCGGTACGTACCCAGCCCTTTTCTCACCTCCTTCTCTTCTCACCTGGGGACTTTCTCTTTCTGAGCTGTGTTATTCGGTGCAGCGTGTAGAACAGGTGCAGTTGGAGTTGTGAGTGCCGGTGGTGCAGGGTTCACATGCAGCAGGCTTGCTGGGACCGGGACTGGGGACAGGGCAGGGGCGGGATGTGGGTCTCGCTCCCACTGTGGGGAGCTAGTTCACCTTACAGCTGGCCTTGCCATAGCCTTACTTGTGAAGAGATGTCTGCCCACCGAGGGTCTGCACTTGCTGTCCTGGGTGGCCCCTCCTGCTGAGCGTACCCGTTGGGCCACCCTGGAGGCTTTTCTCTCCAGGAGCGAGAGCATAGCAGACGTGGATGCTATTCTGCAGGAAGCCACTGCGTATCCCAAGGTGGCACCCAGCCCTGCCCCAGGAGAGCAGTGGCCCGAGTCAGCCCCAGCCCAGTCGCTGTCATGAGGCCATCAAGGGTGGCCATGCGTGGCAAGCCCATCCTGCCCCTGGCGTGCCTGGCAGTTGGGTGTCCCTCCCCACAGAGGCAGTGCCATGCCTGTGGCTAACCCCCCTCCCCCTGGCGTGCCTGGCAGTTGGGTGTCCCTCCCCACAGAGGCAGTACCATGCCTGTGGCCGTGGCCGGAGAGAGCGCCGGTGCGTGCGCCAGTCATATTTTGAGCTTCCCTAGTTGAAGGGACCCTGCTTATCTCCTTGAGGGCAAAACATTAAACCTGTCTCTTCTTTGCTCTCCAGGAGAAAAGCTGCCTTTACACTCCTCCGAAGAAGCTCAAAATCTGATGGGCCAGTCATCAGGTAACACAAAGCCACACTGACAGGAGAGCAGGCCAGGGCGGCAGAGCAGAGCCCCAGCGGGAGGAGGTGTGGGGGCCCTACAGCTGCAGCAGTTTACATCTTTCATGGGAGGCTGTGGACCAGCCTCAGGCGCTGCCAAGGGCATGGGTGGTGCCATGCTGCCACTGTGGCTGGATGGTGGGGCCCGAGGTGCTCAGAGCAAAGCACCCCAGCAACAAGAGTCGGCCATGGGAGCAGGAAATGGAGTTCTCACCATGGTGCGCTTTGGAAGTGGGTTTTTTAGGACTACGAGCAAACCCTTAAGGAGGAAGATCAGTCTGTGCTGGATTTGCCTGCACCCCTCCCGACTTGCATTAAAATGTTCATTCCTCAGATACTGTGGGGTAGCACATAGATTTGTAGATTTGGTGACTGAGGCCATGAAACAGACACAGTTGTTTGCCTGGGGCTTAGCGGGTTCCTAGGTGCCCATGAGGAAGATGCCACACACACGCAACACCTCATGGCTCCATGTGCACGTGGCCGGTGCCACAGTGGCTTCCTGGTGGCCAGGCAGGCGTCCTGTGATGACCCTCACCAAGGCCCTGGGGACTGCAGTGCACACACATGCCAGCCACAGCAGGGTTAAACTGAGTGGGCAGCAATGGGAAGTGTTTGTGGCCTTTTTGAATGCTGAGGCCAGGAGACTTCCAGCGTGGGCTTGGGCAGCAGGTTGGGGCAGCCTCCTTTACACTGGTATCTGGAATGTCATCATCTTCATAAGAAACAGACTCATCTGGGCCATGCCATCCTGAGATGAATGAACACATTGGTCATGCCGTCCTGAGATGAATGAACCCAACCGTCATGCTGTCCTGAGATGAACGAACACCTGGGCCATGCCATCCTAAAATGAATGAACACATCGGCTGTGCTGTCCTGAGATGGATGAACACCTGGGCCTTGCCGTCCTGAGATGGATGAACAAATCAGCCATGCCGTCCTGAGATGGATGGACATCTGGTCCATGCCATCCTGAGATGAATGAACAGATCAGCCATGCTGTCCTGAGATGAATGAACACCTGGGCCATGCCATTCTGATATGAATGAACACATTAGCCATGCCATCCTGAGATGAATGAACACGTTGGCCATGCTGTCTTGAGATGGATGAACACATCGGCCATGCTGTCCTGAGATGGATGAACACATCGGCCATGCTGTCCTGAGATGAATGAACACCTGGGCCATGGTGTCCTGAGAGGGATAAAAACCTGGGCCATGCTGTGGATGAACACACTGGCCATGCTCTCTTGAGATGAATGAACACATCAGCCATGCTCTCCTGAGAGGGATGAACACCTAGGCCTTGCCGTCCTGAGATGAATGAACACACTGGCCATGCCGTCCTGAGATTAATGAACACATCGGTCATGCTGTCCTGAGATGGATGAACACCTGGGCCTTGCCATCCTGAGCTGGATGAACACATCAGCCATGCTGTCCTGAGAGGGATGAACACCTGGGCCTTGCCATCCTGAGCTGGATGAACACATCAGCCATGCTGTCCTGAGAGGGATGAACACCTGGGCCTTGCCGTCCTGAGATGAATGAACTTAACAGTCATGCTGTCCTGAGATGAATGAACAACCTGGGCCATGCCGTCCTGAAATGAATGAACACATCCACTATGCTGTCCTGAGATGGGTGAACACCTGGTCCATGCCGTCCTGAGATGAATGAACACACTGGCCATGCCGTCCTGAGATTAATGAACACAATGGTCATGCTGTCCTGAGATGAACGAACACATCGGCCATGCCGTCCTGAGATAAACAAACACCTGGGCCATGCTGTCCTGAGATGAATGAACACCTGGGCCTTGCTGTCCTGAGATGAATGAACACATCGGCCATGTCATCCTGAGATGAATGAACACATTGGCCACGCTGTCCTGAGATGAATGAATGAATACGTCAGCCATGCTGTCCTGAGATGGATGAACACCTGGGCCTTGCTGTCCTGAGTTGGATGAACACATCAGCCATGCCATCCTATGATGAATGAACACAACAGCCATGCCATCCTGAGATGAATGAACACATTGGCCATACTGTCCTGAGATGAATGAACACCTGGGCCATGCCATTCTGAGATGAATGAACACATCGGCCATGCTGTCTTGAGGTGAATGAACACATTGGCCATACTGTCCTGAGATGAATGAACACATCAGCCATGACATCCTGAGATGAATGAACACATTGGCCATACTGTCTTGAGATGGATTAACACATCGGCTGTGCTGCCCTGAGATGAATGAACACCTGAGCCATGCTGTCCTGAGATGAATGAACACCTGGCCCATACTGTGGATGAACACATTGGCCATGCTGTCTTGAGATGAATGAACAGATCGGTCATGCTGTCCTGAGAGGGATGAACACCTGGGCCTTGCCATCCTGAGATGGATGAACACATCAGCCATGCCGTCCTGAGATGGATGGACACCTGGTCCATGGCGTCCTGAGATGAATGAACACGTCGGCCATGCCCTCCTGAGATGAATGAACACATCGGCCATGCTGTCTTGAGATGAATGAACACCTGGGCCTTGCTGTCCTGAGATGGGTGAACACATCAGTCATGCCGTCCTGAGATGGATGGACACCTGGTCCATGCCATCCTGAGATGAATGAGCACATCAGCCATGACATCCTGAGATGAGTGAACACATTGGCCATGCTGTCTTGAGATGGATGAAACACACTGGCCATGCTGTCCTGAGATGAATGAACACCTGGGCCATGCTGTCCTTAGATGGATGAACACCTGGGCCATGCTGTGGATGAACACATTGGCCATGCTCTCTTGAGATGAATGAACACATCAGCCATGCTCTCCTGAGAGGGATGAACACCTGGTCCATGGCGTCCTGAGATGAATGAACACATCGGCCATGCCCTCCTGAGATGAATGAACACATCGGCCATGCTGTCTTGAGATGAACGAACACATCGGCCATGCCGTCCTGAGATGACTGAACACCTGGGCCATGCCGTCCTGAGATGAATGAACACCTGGGCCATGCCGTCCTGAGATGAATGAACACATCAGCCATGCCGTCCTGAGATGAATGAACACATTGGCCATGCTGTCCTGAGATGAATGAACACGTCAGCCATGCTGTCCTGAGATGGATGAACACCTGGGCCTTGCTGTCCTGAGTTGGATGAACACATCAGCCATGCCATCCTGAGATGAATGAACACAGCAGCCATGCCATCCTGAGATGAATGAACACATCGGCCATACTGTCCTGAGATGAATGAACACATCAGCCATGCTGTCTTGAGATGAATGAACACATTGGCCATGCTGTCTTGAGACGAATGAACACATTAGCCATGCCATCCTGAGATGAATGAACACATTGGCTATGCTGTCTTGAGATGGATGAACACATCGGCCATGCTGTCCTGAGAGGGATGAACACCTGGGCCATGCTGTGGATGAACACATTGGCCATGCTGTCTTGAGATGAATGAACACATTGGTCATGCTGTCCTGAGAGGGATGAACACCTGGGCCTTGCCGTCCTGAGATGGATGAACACATCAGCCATGCCGTCCTGAGATGAATGGACACCTGGTCCATGCCGTCCTGAGATGAATGAACACAGCTGCCATGCCCTCCTGAGATGAATGAACACCTGGGCCATGCCATTCTGAGATGAATGAACACATCAGCCATGCGATCCTCAGATGAATGAACACATCGGCCATGCCCTCCTGAGATGAATGAACACATCAGCCATGCTGTCTTGAGATGAATGAACACCTGGGCTTTGCTGTCCTGAGATGGATGAACACATCAGTCATGCCGTCCTGAGATGGATGGACACCTGGTCCATGCCATCCTGAGATGAATGAACACATCAGCCATGCCATCCTGAGATGAATGAACACATCAGCCATGCCATCCTGAGATGAATGAACATATTGGCCATGCTATCTTGAGATGGATGAAACACACTGGCCATGCTGTCCTGAGATGAATGAACAACTGGGCCATGCTGTCCTTAGATGGATGAACACCTGGGCCATGCTGTGGATGAACACATTGGCCGTGCTCTCTTGAGATGAGTGAACACATCAGCCATGCTCTCCTGAGAGGGATGAACACCTGGTCTATGCCGTCCTGAGATGAATGAACACATTGGCCACGCTGTCCTGAGATGAATGTCCTGGTTATGCAGACATTTCTTTATATTATTTGCTTAACTTTAGTGCCCTCCTAGGAAGATTTCCCATACTTTCCTCCCTTCAGTCAAAATATCCCAAGTTCAACAGGTCTGGCTCACTGCTCTCTGTTCATCTAAGGTCTACTTTGTTCGGGAATTCCTGTCTAGGACTCAGGCAGGACCAAGGAAATCTTTTAAGTGACATTTTAAATATCACTGTTTATGGAATGTGTGTAGGTAGTTGAATAACCAAATAAGTGTTTTGAAAGTATCTTTATTAAAAGAATATAAAGAACAGAAACTCTAGGCTTATATGTGCAAAAGAAAAATAATGGAGAATTAGAGATGAATTGGTTCATTCAGCACCAACTGATCCCCTCCTGTGCTGGACGGCCCCACAGGACTGCATCTACCCTGTGGGGTCACTCCCTGCCAGGGAGACTGGCTGGTCACAGTGAGAGGATCCTCTGGTTGGGGGTGTCAGTACCATAAGACAAGATGAGAGGTGGCATTGTAGACAGACTGCCCCACTCAGGGCCCAGGGAGGCTGTGGCTGGCAGGGACGGGGGGCAGGGCAGAGGTGGTGGGAAAGAACAGGAGCTGTGTGGCTTTAACATGGAGTTGGGGGGCACAGGAGGCGCTGTGAGGAAGTAGGAGCTCATTGGGAGTCTACTGCCATTGGACATGCATTTTGGGGAGCCCTCTGGTCTGTCTGGAACCTAGGTTAAGGGGCACAGCAGAGGCAGGAACCAGCAACAGGGGAGCATGTGGGTGGGAGGAGGGCTTCCCAGTCTGGGGTATTCTGAAGGTACATCAGCCAGGCCTGTGATGGTTAGGAGGGGTGGATCCTGCGGTTTCCAGGGCCCAGGCTGAGCTGCAGAATCCGAGTCACAAGAACCATGTGGGGCCTGCAAGGGGAAGAGCAGAGTGTCAGCGTTAGACTTGCAGGTTGGAGCCGCCACTTGTCCAGGAAATGGAAATGCTGAGCATGAAGAGCACAGCAGGCCTCTGGCCCTGCCCCTCCTGTGCCAACACTCATGAGGCTTGCAGCCTCCAAGCAAGAGCAAATCTTGGACTTGAACTCTGAGAGGTTGTCTTTTATCTGATGGTACTAAGTGGAGATTTGTAAATATAAAAGCTCAGGCTTGATGATCAATTAGACCCATATCGTCACTCTTCAACAAAGAAAGATATCTATATAGAAATATGCAGCTTTTCATTGGCCCTAGCACTTCTTTTTTGGCTCAGTGATGCTATTGAATCTCCTTGCTCCAATTTGGAAGAACTGCCTGGTGGGCCTGAGCTGTCTGAGCCAGGCTATGTGCAGGGGCCTCTGGACAGAGTTACATCAGAATCGGAATGAGAGGCAACTTTGTGTGCTCTGCCATCTGCTGTCCCATGCAGCAGGCCAGAGGGTGTCACAGGGAGGTGGGGCACTGTTGGGTAGAGTGGTGTGGGCCTCAGAACCAGTGGGGTCTCCTGAGAACTGAGGGAAAATGGGCACTCAGCATCAGTGTGACCAGCATGGCCGGTGCCCTGGGTGCTGCACAGAGACCCTGAGACATGCTGGGTGGCCCTGCCCTTCAGCCAGGGGCCCACCAGGGTGGCCTTCCAAGGTGTCACAAGACAGCATACAAACATGACAGGGGAGTGAAGTCACACTGTGCACAAAATGAAAAAAAAGAAAATATCCTGCTTAAGTCTCTCTTTCCTTCTTTTGAGAGAAGTTGGGACTAAGGAAGTTGGGTGGCAGTTTCGGACCGAAAGCTCACAGGGTCCTCACCCTCTGGGCTGTGCTGACCCTCACACTTGGACCAGCTCTACAGCCCTGTCTCACTTGAACCAGGAGAGTGGGGGCACTGGGGTGTGACTGTTAGCAGCCTTCCACCAGCCTAACCATGTCCCCTTGGTATGCCCAGGTCTGGACGCCAGCCCACCGGCCAGCACTCATGAGCTCACCATTCCCAATGATGTGAGTATGCCCCCCGTACCCGCCTATCCCTGGGTGGAAACACTAGGCACAAGTGGCTGTCAGCTCTGCTGTCCTTTGTGCAGAGGGACCCACTGCTTGGTGATGCCTTCACCACCCCAACCCCACTGTTTGATCTGCGTTCTCCCTCCTTTCCTTTTTAAAGTGGGTTTAATGCCCATAAAAAGTTGTGTGCTTTTATATCCCTAATATGTTGAACAAGCAGCAGGCTAAAGGGGACTTCAGATATTAATCAGTAGTCAGATGAGAGTTGGGCTGAGAACCCATGTTGCTGTGGAGGCACTGCCCTGGTATGGGTCAAACCTTGAAGAACAAGGTGGCCCAGGAATGCTCTAGAGTGGACCCACCCGCAGTATTATCTCCATGGGCCCTGGCCCCTTAGGAGGTTTGGGATACTTCATGAGTTGGCTCCAACAGACCTGAAGTTGGTTGGATGTCACAGACTTGTCTAGATTTCTTCTAGCACCCCTCAGTCTGTTCATGCCTTAACCATACCTGAGGATGTGGCCTTACGAGCTCCCCTCAACACACTCAGTCCTCCCCAGAGTAAGCATGGGTCCTGAGGATAGTGAGGACTATTCTCTGAATGCTTGACTTATCCACAAACTGAGAGACCAGGTAGGGCATGGGCCATATGTCCTTGAGGGATAGCTGCCAGAGCAGCAAGCAGAGTCCCTGTGTGGGCTGTGGAGATGGCGGCCCCACTTATAGCTCGAGCGTCCAGCAGCCTTTTCTGCCCTAGAGCTGTGGATTTTGGGAACCTTCACTGTTCTGCCCCCCTTTACACCCGCTGGGCAGGAATTCTAAGCCCTGTTCCTTCCTTTCATACAAACTGACCATAGGAAGCACAGATTTGGCAGTTCAGGGAGATCACCAGTCCTGTGTGTGGAAGATGGACAGTGGAGCAGGAGAAAAAGAGGCAGAAGAGAGCAGGGTCACCAGAGGAGCGGATCATGAGGCTGTCTGGCTGGTGCCACTCACCCGCCTGAAGAGCCATCTCATTTGAGCCCCTCGTGGCAATGTGCACTCTAGGCCTTCTGTCCCAGTTGCTGGTCAGGGACAGAGTCCCCATGTCTGCTAACAGAAGCTCAGGACACTCACCCTCCAGGCAGCATTGTGGTCCAGCCTTCTGGCATCCCCGAGGATTTCTAAGGTTGGCCCAACTTGAAAGGCAGCAGCACAGAGCCATCTGCCCAGGTGTGGGGTGGCACAGCCAACTGGTCCCTGCATTCTTGGAGAGAGGGGATTTTTCCTCAACCCTTTCCCTCACTGTGGTGGTTCCTTGAGCATGTGGCTTCTGGCATCCTCCTGAGTCTTTCCCTCCAGATAGTAAAGCCAGCAGGCTTTTCCTGTGGAGTTTTCCTCCTTTGGTGAATCGTGTTCACCAACACCAGGTTTGGTCTTATCCAAACACTCATTTAAAACGGGAATGAGCTTTAAGAGGATGAGTCATCTTTGGAGAGCTGGTCAACCTGTTTCCTGGGGTCCCCTTTGTACAGACGGATGCTGGTTTTCCCAGCTCTTCACCACTCACTTCCCATCCTCCTCCTGGTGATCTTCCTAGGGAACAGACCCACTTCTCAGAAGGAAGGCAGCTTCCTCTTATCCCAGTGCATTTGGGCGTAGCCTTCCATGCTTCTTCATGGAAAAAGCTGTTGATGGCACTGTCAGGGGCTTTCACCAGCACCCCTAGACTTCATGGGGGATGTATCTGGGCTGCACCAAAGCTGATGTTCCTCACGTGGTGGCTGCCTGCTACCTTCTTGGAGAAAAGGAAGAAATAAAATGGTGTGCTTGTTCTGAACTTGCCTGTCATCTCGTTCACGTCCGTCTCTTGGTCACGGTTGGATCATGCTGCCTCAGGGTTCCTGCAGAAAGACATTGCTTGGAGGCAGGGACTCCTGAGACTCGCAGGCTCCCCAGCACGGCCAGTGGGGACACAGGGCAGTCCAGGGGCCCCAGGCCTTTGGTTCCCTTTCTGACGATCACTGTGGGCTTCCCTCGATGCCTATTTCAGTGCTTGCTCTTGGCCATGCAGACTGTGGTGCCTGTGGTCACCCCTACTCTGCCCTAAGCAACAGTCACCCACCCACCAAAGCTCATGCCCCTTTCCCTGGTTCTCAGCTGCAGAATCAGCCAGGCCTTCTGCTGGGGAAAGGAGTCTAAGGTGTCCAACAGTGGTCTCTAGGAGGAGAGGCTGCAGTGGGAGGTGTCACCACAGTTCCAGTGGAATTTGGCATTGACATCTGATTAGGAGGGGCCGCGTTATTTCAGAATATTTCTGTCGTTCTTCTTTGAATTTGTAATGGAGGCACACGAGGATGAGAGGAGGCAAGGAGTCTGCTAACTGCTGGCAGGGTTCACAGGTGCAGGTGGGGCCAGGTGGGAGGTGCCCTTGGGCTGCAGAGCTCAGCCTAGAAGCCATCTTCCCCTTCACTGAGCCAGCCAGCCTAGGGCAGGGCAGGTGAAGGAGGTCCGACCTTCCCACATTCCCTTCTCATGGCGGAGAGTGCCAGTACAGAAATCACAGTGCTGTTCAGCTTGGCATTTGTGGTGAGGTGGGCATGCCTTGGTGGCTCAATGATGTCCCATCAGCATTCAGACCCCACAGCTGTGTGCAGAGGAGGGGAAAGGCCTGTGGCAAAGGCAGCATCCTCCAGAGCCTGGGGAGAGGGGCACCCTGAGCAGCACATCGCAGGGAGCAGAGGGAGAGGGCGGGGTGAGAGCAGGAGGGTAATGCGTGCCAGGGCACAGCTGGCATGAGGCAGTTAGAAGACAGGCCGATGGTTAAGAGAAAAGGGTAGGCACTTTGTGCGGGAGGGGCAGGGAGATACTTCCTCCAGCAGGCTCTGAGGAGAGATCCAACAGCATACGTGCACAAGGCTCTCAGTGGTGTGCACTTCAGCAGATACCACGCACTCCAGCGCAGGAAGTGCTAGGAGGAAAGCTGGCTGCGTGCTGGCCAAGGAGGGGTACAGGAAGTGGGGCAGTGCGAAAGCCCAGGAGCTCTCCCTCCTGGATGTTGGCATCTTACAGGGACCTGTGGTCATGCTACCGAGTCAGCCACATTCCCCCTCCCCATGCGGCCGTGCTGCTGTCCCTGGCCCCCATCAGAGATGAGCCCTTCAGATCTCCCTGCCACCAGGGAGGAGGATGCAGCCAGGCGGGTAAATGTGGCCTTGTGCCGATGAGGAAACCACCCTCCTGACCCCAGGGGCACACTGAACACCACACACAGGTGTGAGCAGGGAGAGGGCTGGACTGTGGGTGGGGCCTTGGGAGATGTGGGTGGGGCCTGGCAGATGTGGGTGGGGCCTGGGAGAGGTGGGTGGAGCCCAGAGATGCAGCAGGAGATAGAGGACTCCCAGCAGCCCTGGATTCTCTAGAGTGGGGGTCTCTGTAGATGTCTGCAAAGACTGAGGGTTCTGTAGTCTAGTAAGACAGCTGTCATTTCCTAAGTAACCAGCAGAGACGGCCTCTAAGGTGAACAGAGTTGAGACACCGTAGGTCTCCTCAGGGACGGGGGCTGACTGGCAGGGCAGCTGTGTCCCACCATGGAGCTGCTGCTCACACCACAGATTGAGCCCCGTCACGCTTGGAAGTGGACGTCCCTCCTGCATGCCGCCACATGGCCCGGCCCAGCCCTTCCACCCAGCATCTCACTGGCGTAAGGACAGAAACCTGCTCCTGTCACTCAATTTCACCACCGTTCTGACAGCCTAGCAGCCTCAAGGGAGGTGGAAGTGGACTCCGCCTGAGGGCCCTCAGGGACCTGTGTGCCCAGTTGCCCTCCTGGCGCCCTGTGCCAGGTACCTTCCAGTCTCGGGCTCTCTCTGCCACAGGTCTGGCTACTTCTCTTTCCTGTCCAAGCTCCAGAGCTCTCATCGGTGGCCTGTGCGTGCATGAAGGGACTTCCGTCCAGTGGTGGGCATTGAGAGATGCCACTGGCTCCTATGCAGTCTTCTCTGGGGGCCCAAGTTGTCCCTGAGGCCCCTCATGGCTGCTCCATACACCCCCCTCCTCCCTCAGCTACTTCAAGGAGCACCCTCATTCTTGATGACCGCCTTGGCCAGAGGCCACTGTGTTCCATCTTTAAACAGGGGTCCCAAAGGGAGAATGAAAGGAGGCGCCTGAATGGCCTCAGAGTTTCACCTAAGTTCAGCAAAAGCTAAGTTTTAGGCAGCAGTGAGTTTTGCTCTGGCTTCAAGCACACATTTCTTTTTGAGCATTTGTGATGCTGCCTGTCTGGGCAGAACTGGTCTCCCTGGGATGCGGCCAAGAAGATGCCGCCAGGCCGTGGTAGAGCCTCCCTGCTCAGCCCCTGGCTGCCACCTGTGGGTCGCTCCTGGACCCCGGGGTGACCAGTGTGGACCACCCAGGCTGAGTGACTGTGGCCTCTTGGCTTGGTGGACCTCCCACAGGAGCGGGGAGCAGGGCGGCTCTGAGAGGGGCCAGCAGAGGCACAGGTGCTCTTAGCCTGACCTCGGGCAGGTGGCCTGGATCAGGCACCACCTGTAGGCAGGTGTGGGCGGGACCTCTCCAGGGTGTTGCACTCAGGGCTTGGGGCAGAGTCCAAGGCTGGCGGCCCGTCCCACAGGCCCCTCGGGCACACTGCCCACAGTCTTCAGGGGCTGGCTCGGGCTCTTCTCTAAGAAATCCCCCTGTCCTTGTTTCTAGCTAATAGGCTGCATAATTGGACGCCAAGGGACCAAAATCAATGAAATTCGACAGATGTCTGGAGCTCAGATCAAAATCGCCAACGCCACTGAAGGGTCATCAGAGCGTCAGATCACCATCACGGGGACCCCGGCCAACATCAGCCTTGCCCAGTATCTCATCAACGCCAGGTGAGCAGCTCCCAAGGGCCTCTGAGAGACGCCCAGAAAGGGACGCGCCAGCTGGCGTTACATCACCTGGACAGTCGGGGGTGGGAGGAGGCACGGTCTGGGCCACACTCTGCCTCCCGCTCTGTCCCCTCTGCTCCAGGCCGGATAGTGGGGACAGGATGGGATGGCGACAGCCTTCATGTAGACATGAGGCCACCTCACTCTCCCGACCTCCCACCCAAAGTGTCTCCAGGGATGATCCCAGAGGCTAGAGAGGAAGGCAGGTGCTCCCGTGGCCCCAGACAGGCGGCCAAACCTATGCTGGAAGACCTGACTCGTGTCCACTCAGAGCTCTCCAGAAAGACCAACGTTTGGGGACTTTGCTGTTTTGCCTCCTTTTTCATCCTCATGGAAAAGTGTAGGGAAAGGCAGGAAAGGACTCTGCAGGCCACTTCCTTCCGTGGGTCCCTGGTGCACATGGGAGGGTCTGAAGCCACCTGGGTCCCTGTGACTATACCCGACTTGGCCTCAGGCCAGTGCCCCACCCCTGCCAGGCAGGCTGTACCACCAGCCCCCCCGCCAGGCAGGTCGTACCACCAGCGCCCACGCCTGCCCGACACACCACACCACCAGCCCCCCCGCCAGGCACGCTGCACCACCAGCCCCGCCTCTGATGTAAGGAACATCCCTCCTCCCTCCCCAAGGATGTCCTCCTGGAAGAGCCCCAAGCTGGGCTTGTGGGAGGAAAGGGGAGGGGAGGGAAGGGGAGGGGTCTCTGGGTGGACACAGCCCTGTGTGGGCCCTTCTGCTATCTGTGCGCTCAGTGAGTGGGTGAGGGGCTGCCTGGAGAGGACCAGGAGCCCCCCTGACTTTACCCACTGATGCCCCCCTGGGCTTCTGCCTTGATCCAGAGCCAGGTTGGGCCTCTTTCCATCCCTGTGGCTGCAGGCCCATGGGCGGGAGGCTGAGCAAAGCGCATTGTTGGCAAACCCAGGGCGAGCCTGGGGATGGGGCTGGTCAGGGAGGCTCCCACCTGCCCGACCACATCACTGACAGCCCTACTGGGACCTGTGCTTGGGGCCAGATGGCTCTTACCCACATACGCTCACTCCTGTGGCAACCAAAGCCCCTTCTCAGATGCCAGGTGTGAGACTGGGAAGCCCTTGTGCACCCCCAAGGGCAGACCCGGGGCTGCATGGGAGGCTCCATACGGGGAAGGCCTCAAGCCCCCATGCAGGGCTGGCTCACACACCTGACGTGGTGACGGGCATGCGGGGACCAGGGCGGAGAAGAGGCGTGTGTGCTCTGCTGTGGTCTCCAGCTCAGAACTTCTGAGCTGACCAGGACAGCCTGTCCCAGCGAGCACAGAGGCCACACAGCCCAGCCTCACGTCTGCCCACTGATGAGGATGTTCATTGTGACCGTCTCTCCCTCTCCTGCCTTTGTTCTAGGCTGACGTCCGAGGTCACCGGGATGGGCACGCTCTAATCCTACCCAGCACCCTCCCCCGACGTCACCCACCTGCCAGAGCCCAAGGCCCCCGGCTCTCGCACTCTGTACAGCCCACCTTCCCTGCCTCACAGATACCAATAGAGAGGTTTTCTTAATTAACAAAAGGACGTATGCCATGGAGAAACACACCCGTGCACACAGCCACTCTCCACAGAGGCTGCAGGCTCCTCCGAGTCCCCCCTTCAGTGTTATTTATGACTTACAACGCTCCAGTCTGCCCATGCACCGGCATGCAGTGTTAATTATTTTAGAAATATTGTTCCTTGGTGTCAGCGTAGCTGTCTGTCTTAGGAGCTGGGTCGGCGTTCCGACAGCACTTCCTGTCTACCATTCTCCTCCGCCATCCAGAACTGTCCAGAACTGTTGCCTGAGACCCCTCCTGTCTCACACAGCCCTGCTGTGCTGACTCAGTTTCCCCTCAGAGCCAGTGCCATCTGGGCTCGAGTTTCTGCCCCAGGTTGTGTGCTGGAATCAGGGGTGGCTCTCCTGCCACCCACGGGGAGCGCCACCCACGGGGAGCCCACCCACAGGGAGCACCAGGAGAGGAGGGTTGTGGAGGATGTTGGGGCTCTGACCTCAGGAGTGGGGTGGAGGGCGGAGCCTGCTAGGGGCCCTGCCTCCACAGAGATGCCGCGTGCTGGGAAGGCATCGGGGTCCCCTGAGCGTCTTCCAGGGTGGCTGGAGAGCACAGACACGCCAGGGAGCCCCTCTGTGCTCCTCAGAGTTCAATAAATGTCGTGGCCCCTCCTCACCGGCTCTGGCTCGTCTCTGTGCCCCCCAATGCACCCAGGCCCCAGCATGTCCTTCCCCTGGGGAGACATTGCCCTGAGCCCGGTGCTCATCAGAGAAGCCTGAGTTTCTTCTCACACACAGATACGATTTCATTCCCCCTTTCCACAACACACATAAGCACTTCTGTTTGTACTTTGGCAAAACTACTTAAAATGACAAACACAAAAACACCATTCTTGCCCAGGCACCAAAATGCCAGTTCCTATTAGTGAGACTTACTCCCCCACAGCCATCGTGGGTACCAGAGGCTGTGCCCGGTGACCCCCAGTGCTTCCACAGCGTGGAGCCTGTCCACGTCACACCCACTTGGGGACGGTCCGCGTGGCTCACTTGGCAGCCTGTGCTCACCTTAAGGAGCCCGGCTGTGCCCCTGCTCGGTCTTCAAGCCCTGGATGTGACTCAGGCCCTCCCTTCAGGTGATTAATCCCTAACCCAGGCCCAGGGCATGGGGGGAGCCCCCAGGTGATTTATCAGGAAGGACCCAGACCCAGGATGGAGGGGGAACCAGGCACCAGGGAGGGCAGGACTCGGAGGCTGCTGTCCCAGCTCTGCAGGCTCAGGGCACCACCTCCACACCTGGATCCTAGTGTTCACGGAACCTTCTAGAAGGTGGTGGGCCTGGTATGTGTGGACAGACACAGCTCACTGACCCCTCACTGGAGGTGTCTGTCAAGAGTCAGCAGTTCCAGGAGGATGGGAGTCTGGCCAGAACCTGGGGAGCCTCCAAGGGCCCAGGACAGCCTGCCCCAGGCTCCTAGCCAGCCACAAGGCGCCAGCTCACAGGAGCCCCTTCCTGCCTGATCAGGCAGAAGCCGCCCTGTTTCCCAGACTCCACCTGGCCTGCCTCAGGCACCTGGCTGACGTGCTGGCCTGGAGGGCCCTGACTCAGCCTCCTGGACACACTCCTTGCCCACCTCTGCCCCCGGGAGGGCCCAGTCACAGAAGTGAGCCCAGCATGGCACCTGGGCACACGTGCTGGCAGCTTAGGACTGAAGTTCCCCCTGGGGAAGACACAGGCCTTCCTCAGCACCCGTGTCAGTGGCGATGGTTAGTCAGCAGCGTGGATACAACTGACAATGACAGACGCCCTGGAAATAAGACACCACGAGAAGAGAGGAATCAAAATGCGATGGAAGGACCCCTAGAAGATGCAGGCTGGGCAGGACCTAAGAAGGTAAGGGGTTAGTTGCTCACTCATCTGGACGAACAGCAGGCAATGGAGCACTCCAGGTGGGGAGCACTCCAGGTGGGGAGCACTCCAGGTGGGGAGCGCTCCAGGTGGGGGAGCACTCCAGGTGGGGAGCACTCCAGGTGGGGGAGCACTCCAGGTGGGGAGCACTTCAGGTGGGGGGAGCACTCCAGGTGGGAAGCATTCCAGGTAGGGGGGGCACTCCAGGTGGGAGGAGCACACTAGATGTGGGAAGCACATCAGGTGCAGAGGCAGCCAGAGCTGGGGTGGAAGGGAGCCCAGAGCACGTGAGGAGGGGAGACGGGGGTGCTGCAGTGGCAGGGTGGGGGTTGTGCAGAACTCTCAGCCCCTCAGGACTCGGGGGCACAGAGGCACAGCAGAATCCAGAGTCCCAGCTGGGCGAGGGGGTCTGAGTGGGGACTCAGAGCCAGGGACCAGGGCTCCAAACCAGAACGGGAGGCATCCTGTCACTCAGGGCAGCTCACAGGGCAGTGCTGCGAGCGTTGGTTGAGCACCTGTGGACCTCACACGAGGACTGGGCTCTCCTGTGATGGGAGACCCTGCAAAGTGGCAATTCTCAGTTCTAAGGAATCAAGTGAGCACGAGCCTCACAGCCCTGCAGGTCAGCGGTTCCCATCCTGTGCCTTCTTCCATCTCCAGCAACTCAGCTCCCGCTGCCCCTTCCCCACAGTGTGAGTCCCAGTTCCACCCACAACCACGTGGTCAAGGCCTCGGGCTGAGGAAACGTGCAAGCTTAGAACAAGGGGAGCTGGGGCACTCCAGCTCTGGTGGGCGCGCATCATGGGCGTGGGAAATGTGGCTGTTAACTTCTAGAAGCCTGTGGCTGAGTCTCCATCTCGCCAGGGCACTGGCACCTGGCCCACGGCCACGGGGTCACATCCTGTCACAGCGAGTGTCCCCAGGTCGCCAGACATCCCCGCACCTCGGTGTCCTGTGGACACAGCAGGGTCTATGCCCCCTGCTTCCTCAAGGACAGCGGTGGGGTCTGTGGCTGTCAGGAAAGGGGCACGAATTGGCTGACTCCAGTGGCGTTAGATAGATGCTCACAGTAATTGGAAAGTAATTTGACATTCTCATTAAGCAGCACACGTACCCAGAAGGGCGGCATCTGAGTCCCTCCGTTGCTGAGACTGGGATACGAACAGACAACAGAAATGGGTTGCTCACAATTCTGGAGGCGGGGACGTCCGAGATGGAGGCGCTGGGTTATGTGTCTGGCGAGGGCTGCTCTGTGCTTCCAAGGGTGCCTTGTTACTGTGACCTCAGGCAGAGGAACGCTGCGTCCTCCCGTGGCTGGAGAGCGGAAGGACGAGCAGGCTGGAGGGCTCCCTTCAGCCTCCTGCAGAAGAGCGCTCGCCAGCTCATCACCTGACAAGAAGGCCTCTTACTACTGCTGCGTTGGGGATTACGTTTCAACATGAATTTTCAGCGGCCTGCATGCAGGAAGTAGCCTGTGACCATGGTGGACAGACCCCACAGAGGCCCCGGGACCCCCACTCAGCATTGGAGGACCCCCTCCCTGGGGCTGTGGGAGGGATCTGTGAGTTGCTTCTGACCTGTAGGATCAGAAGGGGCCAGGATGTCACTCCCTGGCACTGTGTAAGGCTCCAGCTCCCCTGCTGGCACTGGAGAAGCAAGCAGGCATTTTGGGGCTGCCCTGAAGTGCCCACAGAGTGACCTCTGGGGGTGGACTGCAGGCACCCCTCCGAGCGAGCTTGGGGGCCCCAGTGACAACCAGCCGACACCTGGAGCGCTCACTCCTGCAGCGCAAGGAAATGAATTCTGCCAACAACCTGGGTGGGCCCAGAAGTGGGTTCTGCCCCAGGCCAGCCCCTGCATGGGAATGTGACCACCAGCTCCTCGATGGCAGCCTGGGAGACCCCGAAGAACAGAAGCCAGCTGAGCTGAGCCAACTCCTGACGCAGGAACTGAGTTAATACCTGGGCGCCGCTTCGGTCATTTGATACACGGCTGGAAAACTAAGGCAGTGGCCAGACGCGTGGCTGGGGCTTCCTCCCGCTTCTACCTTCTGGAAGCTCGTGGGCGGGTCGAGGTCGGTGGGTGCTTCTGGGGTGGCAGGCGTCCCCAGCAGGCTGGGCCTGTCCCCAGAGGCTCAGGTCCGGTTGCTCTTTGGCCTGTGTGACCTCGGATCAACACATCCCCCTGATATGGGGCGCTCCGTCTGAGAGCCTGCCTGGCACGGGAAAGTCTCCGGTGTTGAACGCCGTTTTCACACAGAACAGTGGACCGACATTCGTCCTAGAATGGGCAGTTTGGGTCTTGTGAAAATCTGACCATTTGCAATTTTTTCCAAACATTCTGTTTGAGAAGCATCGCATTGTCCATTGTTGATGTCTCTGAAAATCTTACCAGGACCGTGATTTTGTAAAATCCAGCTGCCTCACCAACAGCTCCCCGTCACGGGTCACAGGGAAAGACGCTGCCCTTACAAAGTCGAATTCATCCAGGCGGCCCTTGGACCACACAGTGGAGCTTCTCTTGCTGTTTTAACTGTATCTTCTTCCTGTCTTTTGGTTTCCAGAGTACAAGTCTTCTTTCATCTTATCATTTTCTCTTCCTTCTTTGTTGTCATTGTAATTATCTGTATTTTCTTGGCAACAACTGCCAATCACAAATTATTCTTCTCCATATTGTCGTGGTTGTGGCCCGGAGCTTCCGGCTTCCTGTGTCAGCAGCCGACTTTCACCGTGTTTTGCTTTGCTTTTAACATTTTGAGGCCCCAGGATTTTGCTTCGTACATTTAGTCTCCAGTTGATTCCTTCCTGCTCATCGAGTCTGAATTGTGGCATGAGGAATAATTCTGAAACATACATGCTACTATATATATATTTTGTGTGTGTGTGTGTATGTGTAAAGCCATAAGTAAGAGCAGTTCAGATGGGGGTTTTTTGGTTGTTGTTTTTGTGTTTGTTTGAGATGGAGTTTTGCTCCTGTTGCCCAGGCTGGAGTGCAGTGGCATGATCTCAGTTTGCTGCAACCTCTGCCTCCCAGGTTCAAGCGATTCTCCTACGTCAGCCTCCGGAGTAGCTAGGACTACAGGTGCCCACCACCATGTTCGTCTAATTTTTGTATTTTTAGTAGAGACGAGGTTTTACCATGTTGGCAAGGCTGGTCTCGAACTCCTGACCTGGTGATCCACCTGCCTCGGCGTGCCAAAGT